TTTTATCAAGTAGCTCCTGCTCATTCACAGTAAATAAGTAGATTTTTCTATTCCCGACTGCGAGGTCAAACTGTCGATCTCGTTTCTTCCGAACCTTTTCTCGTGTTATAATGGTCTCTGTCTGTATTTATGTTCCTAAATTCGCAGAACGAGTGTCGAATCCGTTGTTCAGTGGCATATTCATATTCTGCTCGTCGATCTTCGGTAGCCCTTACGGTGCCTCTAGGACCCTAACTGTCAGAAGGCTAGAAGAAGTTACGGACCGTGGCAAAAATTTCCGTAAAACTTAGCCACCTGCCCTCGTAGCACTATCACTATGACCTAAACCGCTGAAGCGTAATTTTCATTAAATCAGCTTGAAATGAACTATTCTGCGACGTATGATGTTATAGTCGGTATAGAGAATATTATGGTATATATGTAACCATATTAGCCGTATAGTTACTAATATTTTGTTTAGTCTTTCTCAAAACGTTATTACTATAAATTTCTAGTTCTAATAATATTCTACTCTATCCATTAGATGATGCCGTTTATTAAGTATATTATAACAACTAAAATTGAGATATTTTATATGGTAGGGTGCTTAGACACAGTTCATCGACTTTTGGCCAAAACAGTTATTAATGTCAATTATCAGATGAAGAAAAACTACAACTATTTTCATTTTGAAACAACATAAACAGACTCTTATGATAATAAATCAGAAATTCATACATCAGAAGCGTGAAAAAATATTTCATAAATAGCGATTTTGGAGCCTGCAATTGTGTTCTTTCGTTTGCACAAATAAATAGGGTACAAAGAAGAAACCACATTTAAAAAGTCAAAGAGAAGCACTGTACCAAAGATTAACAAAGAAAAACGATGAAAAAAGTGTCAGACAATAAAAATGAAAGAACACGGTGAAAAAGGTGTAGACAGACGAAAAATAAATATAAACAGATGAAAGGAGCTTAGATAGCTTAAATTAAATTATTTAATATGAGATTGGAAAGAACTGTAAGCCTTTTGATGTAATTATTTTTACAGATACGCCACGAAACGAATTAATGTATGCCGATTCGCTTGTCATGAGATCGACAACGATGTTATCACGGTCTACCATC